AGTAAATGCTGCTCCATCTGAAAGCATGTGAAAATACCACATTTAATAACATATTTTTACTCCAAACTCACTTCATAACTTCAGCCAAGTGTTTGAAATATCCTTCTGTAAGGCACGCAACATATTTCATAGTATTCTAAGCAGAGATAAAGGCTATGTCGATTAGAATTGCATTATTATGTACTTTATTATAATAAAAATTATAATAAGACGAACTCGGATAAACCATATAGTGTCATAGTTGTGTGTTTATTAGTCAAGTTGAATCAATGAAAGCAGTTGAATCTTCTGTTTATTCAGCTAGGCTATAGGGATTTCCTGGGTTTCTTCTGCTAGGCGTATTTGGAGTTTCAGCGCGAGAGCGCCCTCTGGCCTTCGGATGGAGATTTACTGCTGATCACAGAACCGTGCTTCACTGAAAGATACGCATGACAATCGCAGCTTCTGCCTAATCGCAATTTCAATTTCATTTTGATTTATCGTGCAGCCCTAAACGCTAATGCGAAGGTGTTTCTAATGCAGCGTCTATGGGAGGGACGGAAAATTCTCTCCCCATCCTCCACTCCACTGATTTCTGTGCCAACTTATATTTTATATTTTATATTTATCTGCAGAGAACTGATTATGCTGAAATAAGAGGTTTCAAGATGCTGTAAAATGCTACAGGATGTTATAAATGTCCTGAATTCAGTGTTTCACACTTTGGTTTTATTCCCGCAGGCAGGAGTCAAAGGTACATTAGGACGATTGGTAGGCGTTTTTGAGGTGAGTGTTTTCTGATGGTATAATCAACAGTCAAAAAGAAATTGACTCCACAACAATGTATTAGTGGTGCAGTGGCACTTCAAACAAATGCATATAAGCATATAAGTCTGCAGTTTAATGCATTTGAGGCTTTTTTTTTATTTAGTTATTTGAAAATGGTAAGCGGTCAGCAATTGATGTTTACAATTGTTTAGAATGTAATGTTTACATTTAACCCCCTTTTGCACATTATCACATAGCTTACATGTATACAAGCATTACGTTTATTTGTCATTGCCTTTAAATTGCACATTGTTTGGGAAACAACATTGGGCAGAATGTGAAATAACATTCTTCTTTTAATTGCAATTATTAATTTGTAATAATTAGATTTTTGCATCCAATTATTCAAAGAAATAATAGATTGATTTATACTCAAAATAATCATTAGTTGCAGCCATATTTTTAATGTGTCACTAAAACAGTTGCAATTATTGCTTGTGATTTAGTATTTCCCATGAGGCTGCCGAAAAAAACGTTGTTGTTCTTTACAGAACAGAGACAGGAAGCATAGAACTTATGTCTATGTTCTCATCGTCACTGAAGTTCTGGAGGACTGGGAGGATTCAGTAAATATTGGTAAGAAAAAAAAACTACTGTTTTGCTGCCTTTACTTCGTCAAACCCATAATTATGTAATTTATTTAGAAAGTGGCAGTAACCACATCAGTTGAATTTCGATATGCATGTTTTTGCAATTTTGTTTTATCCATTTACATTTACATTTACATTGTCATTTAGCAGACGCTTTTATCCAAAGCGACTTACAAATGAGGACAATAAAAGCAGTCAAAACTAACAAAAGAGCAACAATATATAAGTGCAAATGACAAGTCTCGGTTATCCTAATGCAGTACACGTAGCAAGGTGTATATATATATATATATATATTATACACACACAAAGAAAAACAAGTAGATAGAATAGAAATAATAGAATAGAAAAATATAAGTATATTAAAGTATATAAGTATATAAAAAAAGAAGATAAATGTAGATAAAGTAGAATTAAAATAGAATAGAAAGTGCTAGAGTTAGAGGGTCAAATAAAGGTGAAAGTGACGTGACATGCGGCCAGGTATGGTGACCCATACTAGGAATTAGTGCTCTGCATTTATCCCATCCAAAGTGCACACACACAGCAGTGAACACACACACACACACCGTGAACACACACCCGGAGCAGTGGGCAGCCATTTCTGCTGCGGCGCCCGGGGAGCAGTTGGGGGTTCGGTGCCTTGCTCAAGGGCACCTCAGTCGTGGTATTGAAGGTGGGAGAGAGCGCTGTACATTCACTCCCCCCACCTACAATCCCTGCCGGTATGAGACTCGAACCCGCAACCTTTGGGTTACGAGTCCGACAGGTGAGTGGAACAGATGTGTTTTTAGTCGTTTCTTGACTCAGCTGCTCGGATTGAGTTGGGCAGGTCATTCCACCAGGAGGGAACAGGGTATATAATTATCCAATTATACTTGCTTGAGTTTTTTTGTTTGCTCCAATCAACTCCAAAGGTGCACATGGATCCATTTTTGCACTTACAAGCATTGCCATAGAAACAAATAAGAGCAGCTCAGAGCGCAGTCTCAAAATCCGCTGCTGATTACCGTAATTCTGTGGCGCTATGTTGATTGGTTTTCTGGTGCCTCTCGTTCTCAGGTAGGAAGAGGGAGTGGTTTAAGACAGAAGATGCCCGGCGTGTGCTGCAGTGTCACAAACCTGTGCAAGCATCTTACTTCGAAGCCCTTCAGCAGGACTGTATGACCAGCAACGGCACGCCTCTGGTGGCCACTTACAACATTAATCAAAACTCTCTTTCCAGCATCAGATAACCACCACAACAAGCACAGAAGCCTCGGCGAAATTCTCCAGCATTTCCCACCTTTTCCTACCTGACTGAAATCCTACTGCAGCTACTATCACGTCTTTTTTATTTCAGCGCGCTAATGGCTGCATCACATGAAAGCTGATTGCCTTACCAGTAGGGCTGCACAATTAATTGAATTTCTAATCGCGATTACAATTATGGATGCCACAAAATTAGGGCTGCACAATTAATTGAACTTCTAATCGCGATTACAATTATGGATGCCACAATTACGTAATCGTTCAAAGCGGCAATTAATCGGTGAAAGTCCACTTATGTTATTCTGCACGCTTAAGATATTTTTTTTCTTTCTATATGCTATCTTAAGGGTTTTTCCATTGTTTTAGTTTTAGTATAACATTATAATACCATTCATATTTTTACTTTTTTTTTTATAATTTAAAGAAGAAACCAATCCGATGTATAGTTGACATTTGAGGCTTAATACTATAGAAAAGCACTAAAGGTTTTTCAGTTAGTGTTTTCAGCTTGTGTATTTTCATATAAAAATACGGCATGCAGTTGCATCAAACAATGGTATAAACATCATTCAGTGTAAATTGTGATAATCGTAATTAATAATCGCAATTACAATTTCAAGGGAATAATCGACAATTATGATTTTTGTCATAATCGTGCAGCCCTACACCAGCCTTTTATAGTGTTCAGATGAAGATCACGGTCTGGGGACATGTGACATAAAAGTCTTTGCAAATTACCGCTTGTCCGTTTCTTCGTCCGTTTTAAGGAATACTTGCATGAGATTCTCTTTTCCTAATGCCAACTACACTTTACTCTTACGTCTTGAAATAAGTAGTGTTTAAAGAGGAAGCTGTCAGAAGTGTTTGTAATGATGTTGTGGATATGCTGTTGTATAGAGTTGGTTGAGTTTTTGCATGAATCGCATATTCATAGTCTTCGTTCTTTAAACTGCTAAACAACAGAGGTTACGTCTTTAATTGATCAAAGTAGTTGAAATCTTAAGTCTTATTGCCAATATTACACACTCATGTTGGGAATTTCTCTCAGACGCAGCTACTGTCAAGTTAGTTTTCAAGAGCACATTTTCAAAAAGTTCTAACTAGTGCTGTCAAGCAATTAATCGCATCCAAAATAAGGTTTTTGTTTACACAATATGAGTGTGTACTGTGTATATTTATTATGTGTATATAAATACACACACAGTATATTTTTTGAAGATATTTACATGTATTTGTATAATTTATATTATATATAAATATATTTAATATACTGCTGTCAAACGATTAATCGTGATTAATCGCATCCAAAATAAACGTTTTGGTTTACATAATATATGTCTGTGTGTGTGCTGTGAATATTGATTATGAATATATAAATACACACACATGCATGCATATATTTAAGAAAAATTTTATGTTTATATAATATATATATATATTTATATATAATATAAATTATATGAATATAAATACATGTAAATATTTTCTAAATATATACTGTATGTGTGTGCTTTTATATATACATAAAAAATTTACACAGACATATTATGTAAACAAAAACTTTTATTTTGGATGCGATTAATCGCGATTAATCGTTTGACAGCACTAATATAAACAACATTTTTCTTAAATATATACTGTATGTGTGTGTATTTACATATTCATAATAAATATACACAGTACACACGCACATTATGTAAACAAAAACTTATTTTGGATGCGATTAATCGTTTGACAGCACTAGTCCTAATGTTGATGGGGTTTGCTGGTTTGGTAGTGAAGCGTCTAGTGTGGTGGATTTTCTGGGTCTGCAATCTCAGATGTGAGAAAGCATTTAAATAAGTGGCTTAATGCGATGCTCGGTCCAGTTTACTGGGAGCACTGGTTTCGCTGTGGTACAGGATTTAATGTGAGAGAGAGGAGAGCCTTTCTGAGCCTGTTTGGGACATCCTCAGTATCGTGAATCTCTCGGTCAGTGGTCAAACACAGGACCGTCTCAGCAGCTGTAGATGTCAGATTCTTCTTCATTCTTAGCGTTCTTATCCGAGCGTTTTGCACCAGTATTCATAGCACAATGTCAACAATATACCAACTTCTCAGTTTTAGTTGTGATAATCTCAGTTTATTGTCTGTCCGCTCATAAACTATATGTATGTGTGTGGATCTGTGTACAGTACGTGTGAAGTAATGTGAATAATCAAAGGACTTGATGCCAAGGTTAGCCGTCTACCTTATAAACTGCCTCTCATGTAAGAGCATCGATTTCGTTTGAAATGTTTACAGCTTGATTGTAGTTTCTGTTCAGACACTGGATATTCACTGACCTCTGTTCATTTGTTGTAGATGACTGTTAACGGTGCCATTTCTTTTTTTCTAGGGCTTAAACAAGTTAGTCTGTCCTGATTATAAAATGCTTCTTTTTTTTTATTATTGGTTTATGATTTATGAAATCGTCACAATCATGTGCTTCAAATGAGAATTGTTTAGGTCTCAAGTAAACTTGTCTTCTCAGTATTTCAATGTTTTTTTTTTATTTTCTCTTAAATCAGAAAGCACAAAAGTTAGTTTATTGTGGATAACTTCCAAAATTACCAAATCTAAAATGTTCTAAAACAGGAGAAATGTCCCGTGCTATTGTAATAAGATTAGTTAGTTAAACCCAATCCAAAGCTGGTCCTCCAATGTTTGTATAAAATGCTTCTTTTTCAGTAGTGAACTCAAAACCTGTGGCAGAGGATGGTGATTCATATGATCAATCTCTGCACATTTATTGCAATCATTAGTGAAATATGTGAATAAGCAATGATCAGATGGCTCTGCGAATCTCTTCTCTGCAGGTCTAATAACAGACTTGTCCTTCAATTGTAAATGCTTGAAAGAAAAAAAATATTGGAGTTTTTACATTTACTAAATTGTTGGTGTTGTAGAAAGAGATGTTTTGGTGTAAAGTATTAATTGTTTCTGGAGTAAACTGAAAACATTTCAAGAATCTCTCAGTTGTTGCTCTTTTCTGACGTTTCAAGCACACTGTTTACCCTGCTGTATGTGATATTGGGAAAAGACATTTTGACCCAAGATTGTATAACAGTTGTGTCAATAATCTATAAATAAAAACAAAAAATGCTAGGTGCGTATCATGAGTTGCAGGTGCAGTGGCAGGCCAAAGAAACTCGCACTGACAGTGACTCACAAACTAATCTGTTACTGATTCCATGACAAAAATTGTAGTTAGTAACGTAATCCATTACATTACACATTTTAGCTAATATTAATTAATGCATTTAGCAGACGTTTTTATCCAAAGCGACTTGCAGTGCATTCAGGCTATACATTTTCTACCAGTATGGTAAAATCATATATTATTACACGGCTCTGTGGAATACTTAATTCTGATTGGTCAGTCGTGACATCCTGAGGTATGTTATCCCTCGATAACACCCGGTAAAAGCTAATAACACAGGCTCATCCGGGTAACAGCAGTCGGCGCTGTACTCTTGCTTGAACTATTTTTTTCTTAGTGGAAGCTTTGCGTTTGTGTGGCTAATAAAATATTAAAACTCGATTCAAAATGGTGTACAATTATTTAATTATGTCATCCTGGTATCGCGGACTCGCTCTCCTTTCATACAAACGCAGCTGCTGCATTTTTTGCTACGATTGTTTTGAACGCTGCAATGGATTATAAGAGAACTAACAAACTGGTAAGGTTTTAAAACATTTTCGTCTTAATTCTTTTATTGCCTTAATTATTTTTGTGGTGAAATGTTGTGTAATAAGTGGTTTGACTGCACCGTTTCCCTTAAATGTCCGCCTAGCTTGAATTTGCCGCTTGCTCGCAACTGCTGTCTTCACGGAAGCTTTGCGGTCAAATATTCGGTCAACTCAAATCAATATTTCGCGTCTAATTATTTACTTATGTGGCAAGTAGCCGTGTAATAAGCGGGATAATGTACATCCAGCCGGTTGTTATAGCAGAATAACCCCCTTCAGACTGATCACCGTGTCGGGGTTTATTCTGAGATAACAACCGGCTGGATGTACATTATCCCTTACATATAATATAATCAGACTACTTTTAGATTACTCAACTCATTTATCACATTGCTTTAAATAGGACAACTTGTATCCATATTGATATAAAAATACAAAGAGTAAGAAAATCTACTCCATTTGTTGTAATTAACAACATGAAGTGGATTAAACATTATTATTTGTGAAGTAACTGCAGGGGCTTTGTGAGTTTAATGAAAAGCTAATAATTAACTCACAAAAAATGTACAATTAAAATAATTTAAAAATAGCATCAATCAAAATAAAAGACATACTACAAAAACTAAATATTTTATTTGTTTGCCTGCATGTCTTTTGACCATAAGCATTAACATGCAAATGTGATACTTCGTCGTTAAAATATTGATAAAAAAATTTCGGGGTACTTCAAGTAAATATATTAGGTGAAAGAGGTTCGGATATTCGGGGGTGAATTGTTCTTTTAAATGTCCCTTGGTCAGTCTATAGCAAAACGTGAACAACATGAATTGTAACAGCTTCAGTTTCTGAGAAATATTCGAAGCGTCACCTGGCTGTTCTCCCACACAGGTATTTGTGTGAGGGATAGTACACCTTAATCAGATTCATATAATGCTTTATAAGTAAGATGCAACAAGGTGAAAGAGTACTTGTCAGTCTTACTGACATCACATTTAATGTGTTTTACATAATATTTATATCCTCTGAGCAAAGATTATATAACTTGAATGTTTGGCAAACCTGAAGGGCAGGCATGGGTGTATGATTATGCATAAATATTCATATCGCCCTCCACACAAAAAACATCTATGCTCTTGAATTCACACTCTCAGTATTAGACTGAAACTTAAAGACTCCAGGAGAATAAGATGCAAAAATGACTGGAGGTGAAAACATAGTCTATTGTTATCGAAAAAACACCTCTTTTACCCTGTCAAAAACAGCTCTTTTCAGATCAAGCCGATTTTGTAGCATTTCCCTTTAAATGTTAATGAGCTCTGCTGACCCCGCCCCTCTCTTCGGAGCTGCTCTCTGAGGGCCTGTTTACTTTAGCCGCATTCATCGTGA